CATAAAATAACAAGGGTTTTCCTCCTAGAATTAAATGCCGTGAAAAATAAAGAAATAAGGAATATTATATTTTTCTCTTCTCCCTTACTGGTCTTAATCCCTCTTCCCCATCTTTAATTATGGTACTAAAATAGACAAAAATTTAAGGCCTCATCACAGCCCCGCTCGTATGCGGCAGAAACGTTGTGGCGAGATCAGTTCCCCCGATGCCTCCCCGCGGCAGGCCATTTCGGGTCTAGCCCTCTGAACGGCCAGAAATGACAGTCCCTAGACATGTCGAGTACGGCCACCCATCTCGCCATCTTTGAGGATTACTCGCAAGGCTCAGTGCGCCCAAAATCAGGGGTGCCCTGAGTTCCCCTAATTTTTGCTGCCTGGTCATACGAGAGTACCATCAAATCACGGACTTGTCCCGGAGCCTAAGTCGCAAAACTGCGGATCTCAGGCGGCGCACTACCTGTGGCCGCCTGACAGTTAGCCCGGACCACTTCTCGACGTCCCCGTCGAGCCCCTAGCAACTTATGTCAGACGAAGCGGACGAGCTTCAGGGTGATGGCCCGTAAAGGTCGCCCACGTCGGCGTTCAATTGTCTTATGTTTCATCTTGTTATGAGTCCTGGGGCTAAGAAGTTGCTTCTTGACTCTCTTGTTTCTTCTCGTCTTTGGTCCCGGCACGATTCTCTTTTTCCTTTGTCCTAGCCCCGAGATGGATGTCGACCCGCTAGTACGTCTAATGCGAACTCTCCGTCCAGCTCGCTTGTCTATGAATAACCATCTCTTCTTTCTTCCTAAAGCTATCCCTTTGACCTTTCTCTTCCACTTAGATCCGTCTAGTTCTGCTATCATATATGCACCCCTGTCAAGTGCCTCAACCACTCTGTAAGGTCCCATCCACCTATTGGCAAGCTTTCCGGTCCAGGTCCTCTCCAGTGTCGCGTCGTAGAGAAGGATCATATCTCCTACGCTCACCCTCTCTTTCCTGATTCTCACGTTCTTTTCCCATCTCTCTTTTCCCTCGTCCCTTTCCACTGCCAAACGATCGGCTGTTAACATAAGGTTATCTTCCAACCCGTAGGCTATCTGTCTTGTTCGAGCAGCTAAGAGTTCCTCTCTGGACATCTCCTCTGCCCAGTCGACGGTTGTCCAACTGTCGACGTGAAATTCTATGGGAAGCGGACAATGTCGCCCAAACCACAAGGTGTACGGGGGGTATCCGGTACTAGCTCGGACCGTGACGTTGTCCGCCCAAATTGCGTATGGAAAATATCGTGGCCAATCACTGTCCTTACCTCTGCACCACTTGGATAGCGACGCTATCAGGGTCTGGTGCCCTCTTTCTACTGGGGAGTTCAACTGTGGGTGATAGGCGGTGGCTATCGAAACTCTCGCACCAGCTCTCCTAAATATGCTCTGGACCTCGTCGGCTAGGAATTCCGCCCCTCTGTCCATCACTATCTTGCCGACACATCCATACCTAGATAAGTACTCTAGGACAAAGTTCTTTACTTCCTTTGCCGCCTTACTCCTGATAGGTCTACCGTCCACGAACCCAGTGAAATCGTCTCGTATGTTCACGGCGTAGTTCATATTGTCCACCCCTCCCGGCATTTTCACCAGATCGATGTGTACCTTCTCTCCTGGTCGCGTTGGATAGGATGGATAAAGTGGCTCTTTGTATTTCACAAGAGCTCTCTTCTGACACTCTTCGCACGTCATGCAGTACCTCTCGACGTCCTTATACTGTCCATCCCACCAGTACAGCCGGCGTATCTTTTCGTAGGTTCCCTTGATTCCCCTGTGTCCTCCAACTACCCCGTCGTGAAGTTCTGCAACTATTGTCTGTCTCTCCTCTGGGTCACAGACTACTCGCAAGGGCATTCCCGACCCTACTGGCCTTCGGAAAAGGTGACCCGCTCGAAGACAGTACTGGGCTGCTTGCCTCCGGATATCTGAATCTTGACTCTCCTCTCCCGTCAGGTGTAGCCCGAT